GACAAATCACCACTACCAGATGCAGATGCTAATGTATTTCTATCAGGAGATATTTAGACTTACAACACACCTCCACAATGACCAATTAACTAATTTATTTCATCGATTTTCAAATTTTTCCATTTACAATTCAACAATATTGCACCACTCAAATTGACTCCATTTATGTCTACATTTTAAAATTCCGATCCACTCAGATTGCATCTTACAAAGTTACCACCAAACAAAGCTGTATTCTTAATTCTTATATTCTTTAAGGATTGGCCCCTGATATCTACTTTCATTCCTACTAATAAATTTAATGCATTCGATCCACATTAAATAAATTTTACATCTATGCTTGTCAGAAGAACTAAAAACATGATAAAATCTATGATCCCTTTTTTTTATGGTAACAATTTAATTAAATTTTATCTTGCCTTTTCATAAATCTATGAAGAATAATCACCTATATTAAATTAATGATCCTAAATGTTTCTCAATGCATTTGTGATTTTCTTTATCTATTTCTTAACACTGCTTATATTCTATTACTAGTTAACTAAAGATTCATAAAGGTTCTGATTGTTTGTTTAAGAAAGGAATACAAGTATGTCTGAAACTTTCTCTGCTCTAAGTATTTCAAGAATCTTCTTATAGAAAAATACATCAATATCTTGAATGGAGATTAGTATTTCAAAAAGATTTTCTTTCATTTAATAAGCTTCGCATTCATCTTCTAGATTAGGTGGAAACCTAAAGAAATAATTAAAAGACTTACTTAATTAATGATTGAATCTATTGAATTCCTAGGTTAGACTTTTCAAAAATAGCCTTAATATGATGGTCCCACCAAGTCTTGGTCTAATCTAGCTTCTTCATATAAGAATTCTTCAAAGCATTAAAATCATTTAAAGTTGTTCCTTCAAAAATGTTTACTAATTTTTCTAAGTCAGTGTAAGAAGATTCAGCTAGATCAGTATTTTTGTTGATGAAGTTTAAGTATGATTAATTTTCCTATTCAATCCAATCATATATTTAGTTGATTGATTGTAACAATTCCTCCCAAATTTTCTTCAACATTTATTCACTTTGAGAGAGTAACGATTTAAAAGCCATCCTCTGATTTTTTAACTCTGATGTCTCCTCAAGCTTGGAGTCTTTTAATTTTTTTAGAACCCTTTCTTAGAAATTAGTAATTGGTATTGTATGTTTTTTGATATCTACTTCATGTTCATAAAGGCATTCAACACAAAGTTTCCTTAAACATTAACACTTATGAGGAGCTAAACATATCATTGATACAGAATTCCTAACATGATGTATGCAACTCATTTTTGTTTTGAAAAATAATATTGAATTTTCTATTACTCTAATTTTAAGTTATACGATGCAAAATCAATTAAAGTATCTTATATTTTTATAATAAAGAAGTCCATACATTTTGCAGATGTTTAATTGATTATAATAAAGAGGTTAATTATTCTATTGAGAAGTCATTTCAATATTATAATAGCATTATTTTTTAATAATATAGAATATCTATTTTTATTTATAATTTAAATTCTAATTAATTCAAATTATTTTTTATATTATTCATTTTTCTTTTTAATCCTGTTTAAGAAATTAATAATTTAAAATTTTTAGCTAATTATTGAGAGATTGGAATATGGATAAATACTCATTGCTTTAATTATGATTATTTATGATTGTATTGAAGATTGATCTTCTCTAATTCAGATTATGCCCTGTATAAATATTAATTGTTTTCTCTTCTATTTCCCAAATATTTTCCAACTCTTCTTTTACCTCTAGTAGTGTAGGGGATCCTTATTAATTAAACGGAATTATTAATAGTAAAAAATATATGGTGTGAGAGCACAACACAGATTCTTAATTACATTTCTGAAACGTTTTATTTGTTTCATATGACTTTGCTAGGTGAAATGATATGTTTTTATAAAACATATTTATAAATATAAATAGAGTAAGGATATATGTATTAATATTTTTTAGACATTTTTTATCTATTGTTTTAAAAATAATGATTGATTATAAAATATAATCTAATCATTTTTAATTTATTCTCTTGAATTATTGTTTATATTGATATTTTGATATTTATAAATGTTAATCATTTTCATTTTTAAAGGCAGCCTAATTTTTTTTCCATAATGCAGCTACTTTTGGATTTCAATATAGGTCCCGAATCAATGCCCTGATGATTGATGAATTCTCCTTCAAGAACTAGAGCTCCTTATGCTTAGAATATTGCAGATTAGGATATAAGGAGTGTAGTGATGTAATTGGAGGCTAAAAATATGATAG